TAAAAACAGTAAGAAAGAGAGGACCTTCACTTCTTGTCAGGTTTCAGAGATTGACTTTTTCAACTCATTACAAAGGAGTTCACTATTTACACCTGAAGTTGTCATCAGCTTCTGAGACAATATAGACTGGTGCAAAAATACTAACATTGGCATGAGAGCCAAACTACACTTTGTAGCAAAGGGTCAGGAATGGGTGAATTTCTCAAGTTCTCACAACTGAGCTTGGGTCTATGTGAGTTTTTAAAATTTCCCCAGTTATTATTAGGTGCCTGGCTCTCCCTGGAGGAACTTCAGGAAGTTAACAATATGTCCTTCTTGAAAACTGACTAGTGTTATATTTCATCTGCTTCATTAAGCTCTTTACACCATGTATGAATAGCTAATGTAGCTAATGAATAAACTCCTATAGACTATAATTTTCAGTCCAATGAATACAATGAAGCAGACTAATTACTTTTATACCTTTTTAGTGGTTTTCTCTTTGACAGCCTGTGTTTGTCCACTGGCAGGAGACTGCATTTTTTATATACCATTTGCACACAACTATTTTTTCTGACCTGCTGCTGTTGCCCAGTAGTGTCTGTTGGGAGCAGAAAGGCACTGGCTGCAGTGCAAGCTGATCCAGCTGGGTGCTGTGGAAGGGCTCAGTGCTCCTCCTGCCTCACGCCTGCACCAGGAGCCTCCAACTCCCCTGCAGACTTCCTACTGGTCCCAGGGAGGCTCTGTTTACTTCCCAGCAGCTCTTTCTTTTCTTCCTATCATAGCTGTGGCACTTCACAACCACACAGTCTGTGAGCCAAAGATATTTTTCAATGGCATCGACTAGATATTTTCAGCCTGTCTCTCATAACGGATCCCACAAAATGTACCTTTGTGCATGCCTTCCAGCCTCTTACAGTATTTTCATTTAGCACGAGCCTGTATCCTTGCTCTGCACAGGGAACTGCCAGCATTAAAGTCATTATTTAAGAAAGGCCAGCAGCCTCAACTCTGTGACAGGGTGTCTCTGGGCTTAAGTCTATATATATAGATGTGCCTAGTACAGATACTAGATACATAGTTGTAGGGTCTATAACATCCTGATAACCTGAAATTCAGTGGTCCACAACTAACCATTCATGTTAACCAGGGTGGATTCCTCTCAATTTGTCTTTAAGTGCTGGAAAAAACACACACCTCCAGAGGGCAATTTATCCCATTTATTTTAGGCACCAGAGATAACGCCTTCTCCACTGAGTGGAGAGGAAACATCAGTGCCTGGCTGGGACCAGCTGTATTCCTTTTGGCTGCTCGAAGGCTGGGTGAGAGGCACTCCACCCTAGACTATCTTTAGCAGCTCCAAGTTTATGAGTGGACAGGGAGTTCTCAGCTCCAAAACATAAGATCTATTCTTTACTTTGTTTTGCTGTCCTGTGTCTCCTGCTTTGCAGACTTGAGTCAGAATAATCACCAAACACTTTCATCAACTATTCTCATATTTGAAGTATTATTCCTGGCAAAGGTATTTCACATGTTTCTTGTCCTCCTGCATGCACACCTTCCCTCCCCAGCTACTAGAATAAAATAAACTTTAATCTTCTTATCTGGATTTGCCAAGATCAGCTCTATGCACAAATCCAATTCTTATTTCCATTTGCTCCCACAACTATTTAAGGGTTTTGCTTGGGAACTAGCATATTATTTGGTGCTCTCCAAATTACTTGTTTATTTTGTTTGAGGGGCTAATCTGGTCAAATATTAGTCACATTGTCTGTTTAGATCAATAGCTGACATCAAGATCATATATGCTGAATAAAGCAATAAAATAACTGTTAACTGAAGTCATGTTTCCTGAAAAGATTTACTTGCACACGAGCAGCTGCTGTCCTGGATGCTAACTTATGCCAAGTGCATGGGACACCAGTCTCTTCCCCTCTGCAGATGTTCCTTTGAAGTTGTGGCAGATGCATGAGCTCTCTGGTGAATGCTATAAACCCACACAGTCCTAGAAGCAAACCAGTACAAGTCCTCTGTCTTGGTTTCCTTTGATGTTTAAGATATTTTCTCCTCAAAGTACATTGAGGCTAATGACTCTGAACTTCCCAGGATGGACCTACCCAAAGAAAAGTGACAACATGAGTTCTCTAATTTTAACTGAAAAAAGGATATAAAAAACTTGCTTTTGGGAAGCTGAACAAGGCAGCAATATCTGGATTGAGGAGCACATACTAAATTCACAACCCCACAGTGACAGTCTGTGTTAACTCACGGTCCCCAAAATTCCCCAACAGAAGGCAGTGGGGGAAACCATTACTTCAATAGTTGGTAGCCACAGAGAGAAAGATCACCTGATACCACCTGCCCCGACCAAATCAAAATGCTCAGGGAACTGCAGAGCAAGGACAGCCATGAACATGGTGGCAGGAAAGCAGCTTAGCTCCACACCTCTCCAGGAAAGAGGCTCCACCCAAAAAAACCCTCATCTCACATCTTCCATCCCACCCAACTCATACACCGGCACTTTTGTTTTGTTTTTCATTTTTCATGTAACATTTTAAAAAATCAATATAGACCATGTTACCCTTGTTTGTAACAATACAAATCAATGTAAAAATTTACATTATGTGGGTCACTTGTTCAAGTCTGTCTGTAAAATATTTGCACTATGTGGTTTACTTGAACAAGTCCAGCTATGAGGAGAGCCTTCTGATCAGTAGTCAGAGAAGCAAATATCATTTCATAAAATATAAACCTTTGTTTCTTTACATTGCCCTTGTATTCAAGACACCACTGGGTGCATAAAAACAGATCTCTGTATGCCTAATTTTATCTTGCATTCACATTTCTTTGTCCTCTAGTTTGGAGGAGGATCTGAGGTACTCAACTTTCTTAAGGCACCAATACTCCATATACCAAAGGTTCTACTTCTCTTCCATTATATTTCATTAAATTCAAGCCACTCTTACAGCCAAATGTGCTATCACACTGCTCTTGGAGGATGCAGATGGATGGGAATAACAAATAGCATTTTGAAATGTTACCCTTACTGAAAAACTTAATTTATTCTCTAGCTACAGTCTAGCAATTTCTTGATAAAAATGAGCATTTCTTATAAATCCAAGTTTTTGATGTTCATTCCAGCACTGGCCAGTTCATCTATGGTTTTCTTCCTTCAAAGAACAGATGTGCAAGTGGATTGACTGTTTTCCATGCTCGCAGACACCTTTTTCCCATTTGCCCATAAAATATATGTATTCCTTATTGTCCTTAACATCCTGTACTTGGAAACAGTTAAGTCCTGTCATCTTTGGTTAGCACTGACTCAGACTGCATCAGAAATCTAATCTCTATGCCTGTATCTTCACAACAAACACTTTGAATATTTAAAGGGAGATTTTGGTTTAAATCTCATAAAATGTGAAGGTTCTTGCTGATAGATTGAAGAGTTTCTTAATTTAGGCCAAATCCTAGTCTTTAAAATCCTTCCAAATATTTACTGAGATAAATGCAGAACCAGCTCTAAGTGGTGCTGTGAAGGAATTAAATTATGGCCTCTCCCAGATGGATGCAAGTTGTTCATTGTTCTAGTTTGTGGGGCCACTCATAGTTCTAAGGTTCCTACTTCACAATTTGTTTATTTGGAGCTAGTGTGTCTCCCTGATCATTTCCTTTCCTACACACTTTGAAAAACCTCTGGGCTGATTTAGGCAAACAAGCAGCTTTACCTTCAGTGTCTGTGTGAGCTGCCAGTCCTGGGTCTGTAACAATCTATAACTTAAGGCTGGATCTCTTTCACTCCTATTCAGATGAAGATAATACTCTTACATATGATGGAACTATTTCTCAGCTATCACAAGTGTTACATCTTGGAAGAGGAAGTAACCAAGTCATTCTACTTATTCAGATCCTCAAAGTACAGCATGGTCACTGATGATTTATTACTCTCTTCTGATTAATGCCAAGACTGGAATCCTGTTAGATTAACCTAATGGACATCATTTAGCTTCCTGAATAGTTGATATGCATACTTAAATTTAAAAGACACAAAGTTCCTGCAGCAGCACAAGCTTCACTGGTGCAGACTCATTGTTTATGGGAACCTATGCCAGACTTTTATGCTCATATCAGTGAGAACAATCAGGCCAGTCATGAAAGACTTAGAGGCAGAGAAGAGCAAGACTCTATCTACATTGTTACTGGTAATCTGTTCAAACACTTCCAGGAATAAAACCATGTATTAATCAAGCGACTCTCAAAACACTAAAATATCCTTCCAAAGTCTTTTCTTGGCAAAGACAATGACATATTACAGCTGCCTATGAATCTCTAGTTAAGAGAGACTGGTAGATAAAACAGAAACTGAATTCTCCAGTGTACAGTTATCTGTTATACTTGGGCAGGGGTATTCTGAGACAGTCCATTTAAGCAAAGGGTAATCCAAATGGTGAAAAAAATTAGATTTTCAGAGGTAAAGTTCACAGATATACAGTTGCCATGACAACTGTATTTGGTTCTGGAAAAGGGAAAAAATGGCTCATTTTAGACTGAAGTAAAATAAAAGGAGTTTGAATGGATAGAAACCAGCATTTTCAGTCCTGTGTGGAATAGTCCTTCTGTTGCAAGCTTTCTTAGCTTCTGTTTTTAGAGCGTTTTAGAGGGGTTTTGTTGGTTGTTTTTTTAAAACAATAAGACTATTGGAATTACAAAGGGTGAGAGCACCGCCCTTTCCCCATCCTTCCCACATTCAGGGCACACTCCTACTATTGTGTGTTTCAAAATTCTACAAATTGCAAATAGCTCCAAAATAACAGAAACAGGTTTCCTGCATCTAAGCAGCATAAAAATGCAAACTTGTATTTTACAACATTCATCAGATGGCAGAAGACTTGGAGAAGAGGAAAATAGCTGATGTATCCATCTGCTGGGAAAGGAGTTTAGTCAGAAATGTCTCTCTGCATCTGATGTGAAAGACAGCCAGGATGATTTTTTTTTCTCATGGTCATTGAAGAATAAATCAAATTTCAGACTCCTGCTGTCATGTATCCTTTATTGGCTCTCCGTTTCCAGCACTTGTGGATGAACATTGCCCCTATGATCACACAGGCCAACGCAATGGGAATCGTTGCAACGTACCAGGACAAGCCAACAGCTGGAAAATTAAAGAAAGGAAATATTTTCAAAACAAACCTCCCAGGAACATAGTTGCTTAAGTTCAAGGAGGAAGAGAAGAAATTACATTTAAAAGGATGTCTGCAAGTTAACCTTCCAGCAGGGTTGATCGCCTATGAAGGGAATAAGCCTAATGATTGAGCAGTCTGGGAAATGGGTTTATGAAGACAGGAGGAAGAACTGGAAAATAAGAGAGGGTGAGAATTTAAAGTTCAATTATTTTGCATACACAGGACTCTTACCAACCCCTGCTCAGGGCTGATATGTGTTTTATATCTTAATCTGGTGGAAGCAGAGAAACTCCAAGCAGGAAATAAAAGCACCACATGGAGAGGGAGTACATAAAACTTAGTCCACCTTCACCCTCTGTGAATAATTTTTGCATACAGAGCAGCTTATAAACTCCTAATGATTAAACCCAGACTGTGAGCTTTTTCCCAAGACACAGCTAATTTCCAAGGCCAGTGTCAGTCCAGACCATTTTGGATCATTCCAGTTTACACTGGTTCATGGATTGTCTCGTCTGTAGTATTACTTGTAGGTCATGGAACTTGTGTAGTTCATGAAAGACAAGGGAAGGACATCATCTAGGATGATGTCCTCATCATAGGATGCTAGAGTGAGTCAGGAGTTGCAACTCATAATGAAGAACTTTAAATATTCCTCTGCCTTTCTAAGACAGTGTGAGCAAGCTCTGGTGATTCATCAACATCATGCAAAGAAACAATTAGCATCACTTCATGTTGTTTTTACAGCTGGTTCTTGGCCAATGGTCTATCACACAGCAACATTAATTGCACTCAGTTTAGGGATTCTCTTCCATAACTAAGAGCCAAAATAACAACACTCATCATAATTCACACTTCTTGTTATTTTGGTGGCAGTCTGTGCATGGTGAGAAGGAGCACCCTGAGCTTTTTTTCTGCTATTGTCTTCTTGCTTTTTCCCCTGTGTTTGAGGAACTGGAGGAGATTTGGCCCTGCTGCACCCAATGGGAGTTTGTCAATAGTCTCCCTGGAGCCATTGTTTCACAAAGTGTATCTAAACTTGGGTGTTATCCAATGAACAGCACAGAGCCAATATCAGCACAGAGCCTTATCCCTGCAGCAAATAGCAGTGAGCGATCCACTGAAAGTGTCTTCTCTGAGCAAGCTATTCCAGACTCTACAGGTGAAAAAGAAATCTGTTTTTCTCAGGCAATAGTCTCCCCCAATACCAGCTCTGACTGTATAAAAGGCTTGGGTTATAATTTAGCATTAGAATAATGCTAACAATTATAGTATGTTTGTCTCCCAGATAAGTAGTCAAACTAGTTACCTTCCTGCTTAAACCTTGTTGGCAATACTTGGTAGCCAAATACGTTCTGGGCCACACACATGAAGTCTGTGTAAAAATCCACTTCTTCGACAGAATCAAAAATCAGTGGCACTTCAATGAAGTTTTCACCATTTTCCACAATTTCTCTGGAAGAAAAAGAATAATTTTGTTTTAAATAATTTTATAATCTGACTCCTCAGTGTTTGATGTGTTCATTCTAACAGCACATTGCAAGAAAACACATTGGATATTTGCTCATTTCTGAACTAGCCCCTCAGCATTAGAGGAGAGCTGAGTCTTCCAGCCCAGTTGTGATAATTGTTTGAGTCTCAGCAGCCAGTACCTGTTGAATCTTCTTGAATCTTCCAGGAACAAAAGAAGGTCTGGATTTGCCTTACAAAAATAAAGAAAAGGGAGGGAAGAAAGGCAAGCAGAATTCTGTATATCTTTGACCTCTCTACACAGCATTGTGAAAGAACGTCATTCCTTCTCTCTGACCAACTATTCATTTCTGAGATTAATTCTTACTAACAGTGGGAAGAGGACATATGGAGAACATAACACTGCAAATGCTCACTCAGCAAAATGAACCACCATTCCTGTCTGTTAAGTGCCCAAAGGCAAGAGTTTGATACAAGAAACTGTCTAGGAAGCATCCAGCATATTTCAACCTGATTGTTTCATCAGGCCAACTGTTTAAAAGTGGTTTTCTAGCTGCAGTCAAACTTTTTCTCTTGGTATCTATTAGTCACTGCTGGAGATGTTGTCTTTAATGATCTGGTCATGAGCTTGCTCTGCTCTGCAGCATAGCTCCCTGTGTGTTCCTCCCAGGACTGTACTGCAGGAAGGCAGCAACACAGTGGTAGGTGTTTTGCCAGAGGCTTCTGCAGGGCATTTGTTTTCTCAGTGACATTCAGCCTGTTTTGCCTTGCTGCCATTCTGAGGGCTTCCAGCAGAACTGAGGTGTCTCACACACCATAGGCTCTGCATGATCCTTAGCTGTCACAGTCCCTGTCTTCATGCAATTGTATAATAACATGTAACAGCAATATTAATAGTGATAATAATAAAAAAAAAATTTAAACACTAAGTAAGAAAGTACATGTGCTGTTATGTTCTCAAGCCTGCAGAGACTATGGCCACAGTACATTTTATGGCTCCTGACCACAGATTTAACACACTGTCACTTATCCATGTAAAGAACATTATAAATTAATCGTCTCAGTGATGCTGTAGGGAATGTGAAAACACATAAGGGATGAGGCAAACACCTGAGTTACCATGTTACCTCTGGCTGCAGCTGTGCAATAAACTAAACATGGCCAGGTTGTTATCTGGCACTGTTGGCCACAAATAGCCAAAACCAGCCCACATCCACAACTGTTGAATGCTTTAATCCCTCAAAACAGGGATGTCACATCCCCAGACTCTGCTGGGAATGGTCCCTACCCCATGCTAAATCCTAATTGATTGCCAGGAGCTCTTTGTGAAGATGCTAGCTGCTGAGTGATCATTTTAACCATTAGCAGTAGAAGCAATGGTATCCCAGACCCCAGGAGCCACCATGACACAGGTGAGAGTGATGATCTTTGAGGACACCCTCAGCTTCAACAAATGAGAGATAAAACAGGCCAACTTGGACCTCAGTGAAGATATTTCAGTTAGGAGGTTTACCTCATGTTTGCAGAGTACTAGAAGAGTGCCTGAATGACATGAGTTAGAGCTCAGGTGACATGTGACAGGTACAGAAAGCAGATCTTTTCCCTCCTTTCCTAGCAGAAAAAGCCTTGAGGAACACAGCTACAAGGCAGCTGAGAGAAGGCTAGGGAAAG